GGCATTCCACAGCCAGCAGCCGGTGTTCACGCGCCACTTCTGAGCACTGATTGGTAAAGACAGTTCCAAACAAGGATTCTCCACCAATAGGAGCGATGTGGAAATGCTGTAGTTAATCAAGTCAGATAAGACCATGCAGTTCGGATGTTTTTCTCTCTTTGTCTTTTGTTGGTCTTCCGTCTTCTTATTTGGGCAAAGAAACCAGTTCTGGCTGGTTCTGTGTCCTGTCTCTATCTCCAAGAGTAACAGTCAGTACCATTCAGTGCTGTCCATATAATACTGTTATGTAAACCATCAGCACACTTGTCTTCAGTGCTTTTTCCTTTTAGTACAGCAGATTTAATATTTTAATTCAAATGATTTTATTTGTCATTTGTAGTTTGAAGGTTGTCCACTAGTACTTTTTAAAGAAGAGCCTGTTCAGTATAATATTAATGTGTTTCAGCCAGATTCTTGGATGGGCTGATAAAGTAACGTTTAAATGAACTTTCATTCAGAAATGGAATATGTTTGGACTTTTATGTTAAAAATTCAAAGAGACATTTGATGATTCAAATGTCTGTGATCTGTTCTTTTTACCGACGCCTTCTGACTGAGAAATAAGATAAAATAAGAACGAGGTGTTAACACGGTAAATGTGTGAGTCACACGTTTTATCCCTGCTGCAAACGAATGTTTAATGAGAAATTGTTTAACACAGTTTTGGAGTTTGAACAGAGCGTCTGATTCTGTTCAACGTTTTTTAAATATATTTGTATGATGGAAATTTTTTGATTTGATTTTTAATTTTCATTTAATTGAAAATTTCTTATTTGATTTTTATTTTTTCTTATTTGATTTTTTGGAAAGACGTTGGAAAATTTTTACATTTTTAGAACATTTTTAGAACAAATTATATATTTTTTAAAATTTAAATTACTATATACTTATTTTTTCAATTTTTATTTTATTTGTGTTTTTATTATTTAATTTATTTATTGTATTAGTATTTTTTATTTTTTATATTTGATTTAAATTTTTTATTATTTAATATTTAATTTCTTTGAAATAAGTTATATATGTAAGAAATTATTTTTTTCAAATGTTAATATTAATTTTCATCTTATTACAATATTTTTGGTTTTATATTTTATTATTTAAATGTTTTATTTTAGCAGTCATTTTGAATTATTTTATTTTTTTTTTTTCAGTATTTTTCAATAACATGAGTGATAAAAATTAAATGGCTTAAAAAAACAGTCTTCATAACATTGTTATTTTATTTTTTTATTTTATTTAGGTTGATTTGAACACGGCGGTTCATGTGCTCCCCTCCTGGTTCTGAAACTGCCTGACATGGTGAATCAAATAACCCAGATCGGATCTCCTGGTCTGGGTTGCCATGGGAGCCATCACTCTGCTCTTGTCGACAGACGTGTTGAAGCCGTGATCACAGTACATCCCACTCTTCAGCATTGTCTCGGAAAACTGCCGGGACGTCCCCCTGTACTGAGTCTAGAAGAGACGGAACTACATGTTACCGTTGTGTCCAGTGATGGTCAGATGAACAGTTCTGGTCCTGGAGTCTCACCTGGATCTCATGAACAGTGGGCTTCCTGCTGCCGTAAGTTTGGTTTGTGGTCCGATAAAAAGGATTAATGTTTTTTTGGCTGAAAGAAAACACAGGTCATATTTTTGTTTCATATTTTGAGGTTTAGGTACTTTGGGTTTTTCCTTCCTTTCTCTCTAATGTTGAGTCACTAATGGAAATATTCTACCCGTACAAATTTCCTTTGATCCGTGCTTCTCAAACTATTTCACACAGACCACTCGTTGTACTTGGGCTTTTTTTGATGTTAAATGAATTATCCTGCTGTAAGTCGCACCAGTGCCCTCTAGCGGCTGTCAGTGTAAAAATAACAAAAGTGAAATTATACATTTTAATATAAAAGTCGCAGCTGAGTAAAAGATTCAAAGTTTTACTTTGACCGTTTAACTTTAGGAACTAATTTCGTTTTGTCATAAAAACTAAATCTGTTTTTAGAGAAAACAGAAAACTGCAATTCTTCTGTTCTCTCCGACTGAGACAGACATACAAGAGCATTGAAGTAAAGCCCACTATACAGCTAAAAGTAGTAGCAGTATTATGTAGCAGAAACCACAGTACAGTGCAGCGGAGAGTAGCAAGAGTATTTAGTACTAACACTGTTCTGTTGCAGAGCTGTTGAACTAACTTAAACAGCTAACTAAACTTAAATGACGTAATGTTTAATTACTACAGTACTTTGTCTGAAACTGCCACCGGGCCATGTGCTAATCTTACCTGTTACCATGGAAACAGTTTGGGTTGTTGAACCTGAACGGAAGATTTGGATCTGTCTTATAAAAATGGCAGGTTTGATCACTCTGCTCCTCCATGACTGAATGTGCAGAAATCAACAGAGGTTGCCACGGTAGTGACAACACAACAGTTACCATGGAGACACACAACACAGGGGGCCAGCCTCAACCTGAGTCTGATTGTTTCACACTGAACGCTCTTCACACTGAAGGTCTGTCGGTCTGGACAGTCTTCTTGCTTTACAGTTGAAAGATTCAGAGTTCATTTCCTGTACATTGACCAAGTAGTAGCATAGTCTATTTTTTGGGAATTTTTTTAGTGTAGGTCGTTTCTTAGGATTAAAAGTTGTGCTTCCAAAAAAATATTTTTTCCTGTAGTTTAAGCGAAACTAAAAGTTCCTCAAAAATGACTAAAAATACACTCATTTGCCATAAAATACTTAGTTATGTCCATTTCTGTTGTTGAAATTTAGAAAAAAACATACTTTTTGTGGTACACAAACCGTTGATCTCGGTAAAATACTATACCAGTGTACGTACATGCAGTCTGGGTGTTTTAGTCTGCTGCTGAAGGAGCTGACCTGTTAAATAATGGTATGCAGCTGGGGGTGGGACAGGGTGTCCATCAGAGACGATAGCTTAATAACCATTCTTCGCTTTCCCATCGTCCCCACAAGGTCAAGAGGGCATCCCCGGAAAGACCTGACTTTCCTCATCACATGTCCATTTCTGTCTCTGCCGATATGTCTACAGCTCAGGATTCCACTCCTCAAAGGTTTACTGACGCCACCACAACTTTGTAGGTCTAAAGGAGTGACCTGTAAAAAAAAAACACATAGACACATTTTAGGCAAATTAGGGCATTTTTTATGCATTTTTGTGAAAAAAAAAAAAAGCTTTTAAAGACTTTTTCAGGATATTTTTAGTGTACGACGTTGCTGTTGGTGCCAAAAATTACGTTATTCAGTCACCACCGCTGATAGAATGACCTGAAAAGAACCACACCTGACAACGTTGTACTTTTTACTCGCTGCGAGGGGGAGCAGAGAGACCAACAGCTTCGCAGAGCTGGATCACCAAAGTCCCAAAGCGTATGAGGACTGCAGCTCCTTTTATTGAGAAAGTTTCACAAGTACTGGGCAGTTGTTTTCTTTAAGTTTTACTCTTTGGACAAAGTTCATCCGATTCCCATACTTGATGAGAAACAGACCTCATCCTTTATGGACCACATCGTAAAAAATACCTTACTAAATAATGATACTAAATCTACACACTCTGTCCATGTCCGTTTTGTTTCACGCATTGCCTTTATTAGCTTATTTTTTAAAGTTCCATTAATTCTTTCCACTAGTCCGGCTGACTGTGGATGATATACTGTGTGTCTTTTGAGATCTATTTTCAAATTTTATTCTTGATCCAAATCAAACTTTGTCTACAATTATTTTTAGAAAACAAATTGAATCCCTTTGCATTAAATTGCTTATCCACTAATGATACCATCCCTCCTGATGGCACGGCCCATGTGTCATAACTGCAGCCCATTTGAATAATGACTGAGGTAACCATGGTTTTCCATTTGTCCCTATAAAAATGCCATTTTTTATTTTTGCTCCTTGGGCCATCCAGTAACGCTTTTCAGTATTAGATGCCTGTTCTTGTCGTGTTTTCAATACTTCCTGTGTGTCGCATGTATCAATA